CAGAGTTTAAGAGTAGTTGAGGTTTGAGGCCTTGTTTCACCCTAGATGTTTCCTGCCAACAACTCAGGTGTGGAGTCAATGCCTGGAGCCCAGCTACAACTGGAATTGAGCTTAGTTCTCCCAGTCCTAAGGTCCATTCAACTCTTGGTCAACATGCAGGTGGCGGACCACTCAGGGATGTGGGATTAGAGGAGTCAGCAGACTGCTATGTCTTCCTTGCCACTAAGGCCACCTCCCCACGGGTTGAGGGCAAGAGCCTTTCCAAGTGTCTCATTCACCTAAGGCAGGCGTGCTCACACGCTTCCAGGAAAATGAAATATTTGGAATCAGTGTGCAAAGGCCCCAAGCACTGAGCCCATTTTGGGCAGGGACTAGTGCCCCCCACCAAGAAGTCCAAGAAATCAGGGAAGAAATCAAGAAAGCGAAAATGGTTTTGAGGTTGTAAGTGGTTTGGATTGAAGGGGGAGAAGAACAAGGAAATCCTCAAGCTAGTCCTGGTGTTGATGATGGTGTACGAGATCGCCTCTATGAGTGGATGGAGGAGAACATAGCTGCCCCACTACGAGCTCAATGAGCACAGATTCCGAGAGCACCTCAGCAGATTCCACAGATTCCAACAGCACCGCAGCAGATTCCACAGATTCCGACAGCAACGCAGCAGATTCCTCAGATTGAGATTGGTCAGCATCATGCGCATGAGCAAGTTTGTGTGTTCCCGACTGGACGCTGTCATCACAGACTCACATGTGGCATGGTTCGTAGTAATCCTGGGAGAGTTCGAAGGCTTAGCGTAGCAGAAGCCGTTCGAGGAGGCCGCAGACCTTGTCGCCAGTGTGGTCCCTCTGAACTTGGTTAATCCATTCAGAGTTCATGAAGCTGTTGGCTATGTGAACTACATGTTTGGAGTGAGCCATGTGTGATTGAATGATTGCATGGAGTTTAAATTCTAATTTGCAGCATGGAGTGCGCATTTTGCATGTCAGCAGTTCAGTGTGCAGCATTTCGGACATGTGCAAGTGTTGTGCGAAGCCATAACATCCTGTGTCCTGTGTAGTGTTGCTTGGCTGTCTCTAGATCAAGAAAAGGCCCCCAAGATGGCCAGACAGCAAGCTATGAAGTGAGGGGGCGAAGAGTAATGGACCGCAAGAAGTCCCCCGCCTTTTGTATGCACACTTGTTTCGTCTCGTACTGAGGATGGTAAGTAGCAAAGTCGTTCAACTTTTCCAAGGTCAAACTTTGAAGCAAAGGGACGACTCTTTTGGATGATTAAGCCAGTCAGTGCTCAGTCATATGACGTTTTGAGCTCCACCAGAGGCTTGTTGCACTAGGCGTTAAATTTTCTGGTTTTTCCAATGTTGGGATGATCGTTCCCTCAAGTCGTGAACTATCGAAGGGGGTAACAACATTTGAGAGCATCCACACCGGCATGTGTAGGCCATGTGTCATGTGGATTGTTGGTCCCCAACTTTTGCTGTTTTCCAGCAGAGCTTTGAAGCTGAGACTGCGACGCTACACCAAGGCTCAAAGTGAGTTGCAAAAGAAACCTGACTTTGTTTTGGGTTTGAGTTTTTAGTCCAGCATTGCTGATCTGTATTAAGGGGGTGTGGGGGTTGGCCGCGTTTTGCGGCCAGACCCAGCGGTAAGAGAGTTGTCGGGGAGCGTCCTGGTGGGCCCCAAAAATCAGGCATGATGAGGGGGTGCCGTTTTCGGTGCCGTGGGGGCCGTTTGGGACACCAAGGCAGTTTTTGAGGCACGTTGGAAACCGTTTTTAGCCGTTTCATGAAAAACATGCACGCGCCAGTATGCACCCCGCTTCTCAGTTTTCGTGCCCCCCCGCGGCGCAATTTACAGCATTTGCAGCTTTTACAGGACCCGAAATGCTATAGTTCACGGTGTTTGCAGTATTGAAGCCGAAAAAAAACAGGTAAGCAGGGGTTTTGGATTCCGTTTGCGGGAAACGGCACACAAAATCGTAAACGAACAAAGGTCACAAGTAATTAAATTTTCCTCAAAACGGCATGAGTGACAAATAAGCAACAAAATCGCAACTAAGCGCATGTCCAGCTGCAACCCATACCCTTAGAGCCATATACGGAGGAAGGGAGGGCAGTGTTATTGCTGTCCTGGCTATACAAACGCTGTATTCGTGAAATGAATACAGCCGGAAGAGTGTGGACTGCTGATGTGTCACGTTTCCCCATGTTTCCGATCTTGCTTCCATCATGCACAGGCAGCATTTGTTGAACACCGCCTGCACAACAATATGGCGTTCATTACTGCAAACGGCTTCTGCGGCCGCGACCAGGGAACCGCCCTGTATCACATTCAGCACAACGAGTTGCAGTCACTTCTCCCAGCACAAGACTCTTCTTCAGTCAAACACTTTTCAGGTAGCATCAGGAGGTTAACATGTCATTGCGCTTCTTCGGTTTGCATGCCTCTACGCCAGCATGCTTTGTTGTATGTGATGCGGGCATCTGGTGCGCACAAACCACAACACAACAGGTGTGGTTGAAATCCCAAGTGTACAATCCCAGTGTTCAATCTTGCGTCAATATTGCTTACTGGTGTTTCTGGACATTCCAGCTTCATGCGCAAATACTACATCCGTAAACACAATTGTGCGTGTCGGCTCAAGACTCCGGGTTGCATTTTGTATAGCAAATTCCGGCATGTGGGGATGGCTTTATCGAAAATGCAGTAATGACTGGTGTGTCCAAGGCATTTGCCATTATTAGTTCATTTGGCTTTTGAAAGCACCTGAGCCGCCTGAACCCTACACCAACAGAGGCTTCAAACTCAGCATGCAACGATGCAACGTATGCGAATTCTGTGGCGGGCATGGCTTTGCCCAGTGTCTGCGCTGGCGGAGGTTTTAAAGCTACAGCCGACAATGGATCCTTGTTATGCATGTTTTCTTTGTTCTCTGAAGTAAGAGTGCATTTTTTTGAGCATGGGGTTTTTTGTATGCATATCAAACGAGTGGCCCACATTTTTATTGAAATGTTGGGAATAAGGAATGAACAGCAACGATGCGCGCAACTCTTACACCGTTTTGAGGACTGGCGGAAAACAACTCTTTTTGATTTGCCATGGCGTGTTTTTCTGGACACGCCCTCTGATCATTGTGAGAACTTGCATACAAGCGCGAAGCACACCTTGAGACAAGCATCCTCAATTGAGGAGTTTTTGGATGACTTGGGCACCAGAGCACATGATGTGCTTGTTGAAGCCACCCAGCTGTCAACGGAATTATTTAGCTTTTCAGCCGGCCTTGCGCAGCAGGTGCCTGAGGTGCCGCTGAATTTGTTTCACCAAGCAGTATCTCTGAGCTTGCAGCACGACCCTCCGCAGGAAGGAGCTCCATCAATCGCGCTTAAATCAGATGTCCAAGAGTACCAGGATGGTGTGATATGTCTGGACTCCAGGTCTGCCATCCGCACAGTAGAGAATCTGGACTGTAGATTTGTTTCTTTGAGTCATGCTCAGACCCATCAATTCCAACAAATTTCAGTTAAAAGCGCCAAAGACAATCTGAGGAATTGGTACATTCCCCATGGTTTTTGGATCTCTCCGCACACATTCGGTCGGGGTGTTCGGCCGACGGCGCAGCATTCAGTCCGCCAGCTGCACATCACGCCTTGGGCGGCACGTCTGGTGGGGTGCCAGCCCTCTCTATGGTATCTCAGTGGTGAAAGGTAAAACTTTCAGTTGCCACATGCTTCTGTTCCACCGTTGGATGTGTTTTAGCCAATTGCGGCATGAACACGTGATTCCAGCCAGGAACTGCACTTTCTTTCTTCCAAGTTTGTCATGCTTCTTTACCAGTTCCACGGGCTTTAGTCTGTGTGCATTCGTGAGTATCGATTTCTATGACGAGAAAACAATATCTAGCTCCTAACAAAACTTTAAGCCCCAAACCCTGAGCATTAAACCTAAGCCTTCCACCCAAAGCCCCAAATGCAGGTATCCAGAACTTCGTCGGCCAACTTCACCTTGGAACAACGCCGCCTTACGCGCCAGCCACAAAGAGGTGTGTAGGCAAGAGTTTCCAAATTCTTCAGCCTAGTTTCAAACACTCCGGGGATGTTAGACTCAAGATTTCGGGAGTTGAGTTGCAATGCTGAGACAGGCCCCGAGGATTGACTGCGCATAATGCACGTGCATCCATTGGATGGAGCAAGCTGTTCGAAAGTTAGTGTGAAATGCTCAACGTAAAGCTCCCACTGCTGCCTGCAGTACCATCGCCTTACCATAATGCATTGCGCTAGTCGCGAAGAACTGTTCTTGAACATTCCTGCCCTCCGTTCATCAGAACATCTTTGCAATCTTAGGCTCCCGAACCAAACCCTGGAGGATTAAACTCCTAAACCCGGAACCTTTGTAAAACCTCTAAGCACGTGAAGCCCTCAGACTTAAACTCTACACACACGAAGCCATGATCCCTACAAAAAAACTTTGCTCGAAACCCCAAACCCAAGCAACTTGAACCCTGAACCTTAAACGCACTAAACTTCTGCCCTGCCAAGCGGTTGGGGGGGGAAGCCTGAGGTGCCTGGCAGGGGTTGGGAATCGCACGGAGGTCAGCAATTTGGGACTTGGAGTTCCGGATGGGGATTTGGAGGCCCTCGGATTTGTTGTTCAAATTTCAGGATGTGGGGCAGAGCAGTTTGTCTTTTCCTCAAGGTCATGTTGGTGATGCGAGGAAACACATCTGGGACATGGTGGGAAGCCACGTGGAATAGGTGCATGCAAGCTGCAAATTTAAGATTGGCAGGCAAGTTGTCTGAAAGCAGTCTCAGTCCTAAGCCTCAGACCTTGAATTACTTTTGCAAGGGCGAGCTGTTGCCCCCTTCGGTCTTATTCAACATCACTATAAGAGGTAATCTGAATGCACGCCGGGTTTCACATGTTTTGCAAAGGCATGCTGGAATTCCATTTGAAGGATGTTTCCTTATATGTGTCTGTAGGATAAGGTTCAAGTCCACGGCACCTGCGAGGTCTTCGTTCGCATCAAGGCAGTGGCCTTTTCTGGAAACGGCAGCCCGGTGCGTGTGTTCGTCATCGGCAACTCCTTCGGCTTCTCCGCCTTGTTCTTGGGTTTACTGTTTAGGACGAAGGGCAGCTTTCTTGACGCATTGGACTTGGAACCTGACGCTTGTCACCGCATGGGGGGTTGGCTGACTCGCGCGATAGCGCGAGCTCAAGACCTGAATATCTCCGTGACACGAGGGCCCTCTCCCCAAGCTGTTCCGTCAGCCATGCGCGGTGGCTCTTATGATTTGGCCTTCATTGATGGTGGGCACTTCGAGAAGCAGCTGCAACAAGACTTCGAGGCTGTACATCCCTTTATGGCAGCTACCTCTGTGATTGTGTTACATGATATTGTTCTGGTTGGACTGTATGATTTCGTCATGCGTTACTTTGCCGCCTCTGCCTGGGAGTCGCACCTTCCCCGTGGGTGCACATACAAGAATATTGCCGGGACAGTCACTGAGCTGCACGAGTTTAGTGTTTTTTCTTGTATGCGGGGGTAGGTGGAGGGCTGAAGTTGTTGCGTTTACGGTTGCAAGGTGGGGGTTGGGCTATGAAGGCAGCAGAGAGGATTTTGCAAAGTGTGCTGACTTTGTCCTTCGACCTCTTCCATACTGCAACGGAGGCCTGTGTCTCGGATGCTGCCCTGACTTAGGTGATACTCCATCGTGGCTTTCCTTCCGGCACCTTCGATTTGCTCTGAGATCAGAAGAAAAGGTGCACAGCACTAGACTAGCGAAACAAACCTACAACGTGTGTTAGTCGCACCTGACATCCCTTGTGAAGGGTTTCGGGCATGGGGTCTAGTCATAGGGGTAGTGTTCCTTAGAATCTTAGAGCCAAGTTGAATTTGAGAAATTCTTATTCCCAAGAAGTCCTGAACCCATAGCCCCTCACCCGAAACCCTGCACCCCAAAACCCCCAAACCCCGAACCCTATCAGCTGACACGCCAAACTGTTGACGTCATCCGCCCTCAAGCTAAGCCTGAGAGGTTGAGGTGTTTGAGCTTGGAGATCTCTATGAGGGAATTTGGGGTCATGACGGAGTTCGCCACTCTAGGATGTGGGGTTGGATCTGAGGGTTCAGAGTGGTCAAGCCGTTTGTAAAGAGGAACTGTAAGGCTTCTATGCGGTTACTCTGGGTGTCCCTTTGAAGTAGGGCCTATGGCATGGAGTTCTTATAGTTCCTTTCGCCCTGCACTCAGTATCCTGGCCACGTGAGTGGTAGTCAATTGTTGGAGCTGCGCAAAGTTTGCCCCATATGGGTTCTGTTGTCATTAACATCACGCCATTTCAGATAAGTATCTCTACAGAAATGGAGGCCTTTCCATTAGCCATGAGAAGACCGGCGGACGCTGTAGGAGGAGTTTGAACGCTACTCCCTAAGCCCTCAACCTCAATCCCCGAGCTGTAAACCCGAACTGGAGCCAGACTCTCGGACTAAAAGTAGTGTATCTGCACGTTGACTCAGGCCCATGTGGGTCGCTACAATAACGCTGGACAGTTCAAAGTGCAAAGGGGGAGTCCGAGGTCTTGGGCTGTGCTTGGGTGCCCAGATTCCATTGGAAGACCCTAAATTCCACATCCCTGGGTTCCTAGACTGCTCGGACCAGTTGTTGGCTCAGAAGGGCAGCCTGCTCCAGGGCTGTTGCGGGGACACGGCGGGTCTCGCGCATGTTCTGCTGTCAGAGTCAGGAGAACCGGAAGTTGGAGGAGGTCGGGTTCCCTTCACTGCTGTAATTATTGCATTCCTCTTTGTAGCGTTAGCGTCTTTGCTCTCTTATGTTTTAAGGCTATGCTTCGGACCTTATTCATGCGTGTTACTTGTGGCATGCTACAATAGATGAGTAGAGTAACGCCTTTGAGCCCTCCCAGAGCTGTTGTTGCAACATCTTTAGCTGGTCGCAGTGCGAAGTCAGACATACACGAGGCCCTTAAACCGTTGAACGCGGAAAACCGCTAGGTTTGCAAAAGCCCGACAAGCTCTGAAGCCCAGTAAATCCTAAGACATTGGAGCCGTAAACCATGCTCTATGCTCTAAATCCAGTCAACCCTAGTCTCCCCCAAACTCAGAATCCCAAAACCCCCAGGGCGAAGTTCTGCTCGGACCGGTTCCTGGACAACCCATTATTCGGGAGGCCAAGGGGCCTGTGGAAAAGCAGGTTTGGGGGTGTTGGATGATGTCCGTGTCGTTCTGGTGTAAGGTGTTTGTAGGTTGCGGCATTCGAGGCTGCAGGGGCAGGAGGAAATGGGGTTTAGGGGATCTTGTTGGTACAATAATGGTTGTGTTTGGGGTTCCAGAAGGCAAGCACTCAGGCAACTTGGAAGGTCTACATGAACATGCGGGCTCCTGGGTGCTGATGTCAACAGTAGATTTGAGAATTGTAAGCCCTCAGCTCTTATTTGTGATGCATGACTGGGAATGAAGTTGAGAGTCAGAGCCCTGTTCAAGCCGATGGCTCTAGTAGTCTATTGTAAGGGCATCTTTCTGGGAGGTCCGATGCAGAGTGCCTACATCTCGAATGAAACCCTGAATCCCAAGCACTACACCTTGACGGCTTTCAAATACATCCAAGAGAGGATGTTCCAAGAAGGCCTAAAACCCGGAATCCCAAACCCTCCGCCTGCCTTCCCAAGTCCTGGAGGTTCATCTTGTCCATTTCAACGATGTCTATAACCTTCAGCCTCAGCACAAGGAAGTCAGGGCTTGGAGTTCAGGGTTGTGGGTCGAGGGGTTCAGGTTTAGATGCTTGGCGCTTAGGGTTTACGTAGAGTAGGGTTCAATGGATGAGAGTTGAACCCTGTGATCCCCTTCCAATTCCTAAGAGTCCCCACGAGCCCGCCAAGTGGCCCCAGTTCTAAGAAATCCCTGGAAGGTAGCCTTGGGTGAGGGAGGACATAAACAATGCATTTTGCTGGGGATGTTTTTTGTCGGTGGGCATTGTTTTTTCAGAAACGTGGGCCCGCGCACCTCTCCGCGACACCCGACCCGGCGAGGACAGGGATTCTGGTACGCATTATCTATGTACTATTATGTATATATGCTGCTTGATTTCAGAACTTTCGCCCACTTGTTTATGAACGCACTTCCTTTTCAAAACCCCAGTCCTGACGGCGTCATTCTCTTCGAAGGCCACTGCTTTGCAGACGGAGTTCAAAGAGGCCTTTCCTAGCTTTAGCGCACGCTCCAGTCCATTTGTGAATTTTCGCATTGGGGTTCCATAGCTGGTTGAGGTAACTTGGACAAAAGTAGAAAACGTCGCATGATGTCGCATTCGAGCTCTCCCGCGAATGGATTACCAGAACCTGTGATGCTAGAAAACTAATGCACAGAGGTATTCATGAAGGCAAGCTTAATCACGGCTGTAAGCTGCCTCTGCACTTCAGCTCCAAACCTGTGAATCCAAGCCAAGCCCTCTCGCTCCCTGATCCCTGAAGGCCTCAATCCTGGAACCTGTGAAGATATTCCTGGCCTGCACACACCCCAAACCTATCAGAAACTCTGAGACCTCTGCCAGGAGGAGCCAGTAGGTGGGGCGGCCCGCTTTGCGACCATCCTCAAGGAGCTGAAGGCAGAGTTAGCACCGAAGAAGGCGCAGAGAGTTGTTGTTTTTTTTTTGGGGGTGGGGCGGGGTCTAGGCTTTGAGGATCTTGCTTGATTATGGACCAGGGCTCGCAGTTTCTGGATTGATTTGGTGTTGGGTGGCTAAATGTTGCAGGCTTCGAGGGAATGGGGTTTTCAACAATATGTTCACGGCTCTGTACTGGGATCTCTAAACTAATACAGGCTTGAGAGGCATTGCGTTGAAAAGGCCTGCAAGAAGCTACATAAGCAGTTGGTTGGAGAGTCGTGGGTTCCATACCCAGAACGTAACATCCTAACACGCAAATTGAGTCCTAACGCTTGCAGCTGCTGGGGTCAGCCCTTTGGCTTTCAAAGCCAAACAAACGTCGAATATGTACATTTACATTTTGGAAAAGAGCTTGTTCGTGTTGTTGCTTGTTCTTGCCGCAAGTGTAGGTGTTCGATGTTATTACCGACTTTGTCACCACTAATATTTCTAGTCGATCAGCTTTCGCGATGGTGGGCGGATGTTGTAGCTTCGTGGTCGTGCCGCTGCTGGCCTTCTTGGTGGCCACCGGCTTCGTAAAGGCGACCTCGGCTTTACCTTTAGGGCGCTTAGGGCTGAGGATACCGGGATCACACCCTAGGCATTGAGGGTTCAAGAGACTGGAAATAAGGGTTTGGGCTTAGGCATCATGGGCTAAGTGACGTTTTCGGATCTCGTGGCTAAAGCTTTTGGGTTTAGGCCGTCTTTTGGATTCAGGGTTCAGTAGGCAGGGTTTGGTTCCTATATACATCTCGAATCTCAAAAAAGCAAATCCAAACCCTGAACCCTAATCCCCATAATCCTACACCCAGCAGCTCAAACCCCAAACCGGCGCTGGGGGTGCAAGGTGGACATCACTCCGCTTTGCTTCGCAGCGGGGAAGCTTTTACCGACCTACGTGCCTCAAGTGGATCCTGGAAGTTGCACTTAGAGCTTAGGGGCTTAAGGTTCGGGGCTTAAGGTTCCGGAAGTTATGGGTTTCAGGAATTAGGGTTGATGAGCCTCAGGGTTGAGGGTTTTGCCTTGTGATTTTCCTAAAACGAACAGGTGAATGATGGAAGGGCAGCCCCCATGCTTGGGACGCATGTCGGAGTTTTGTTGGGGTGTGGGAGGGAGCGATCGGCATAGGGCTGTTCGAGTTATTTGGGCTATTAAGCTTTGTACAGCTTGAGGGGTCAAGATTTTGGTAGGGCTTCAATGTTCCAGGCTTCGGGGTTCAGGACTTCTTGGTATCGCATGCGAAGTAAACAGAATGTTAAGAGGGGAACGGCGGCCCCTGTTCAATAATGGTACAGGGCTGGTTGACTCCTGTGCTTTAAGCTATGGATGCTGTGCATGACGGCTTGTGAGTTCTCCGAGCTCGACAGCAATGCATGTGCTCAATTGAATAACTTTAAGGTTTGTGGAAAAATCTTCGAGGTCTTGGGTCCAGAGACTTGGTCGAAAATCTCCTGACTGTTAACCCTGAAACTCCAGATCCCGATAACTCTTCGCCCTAACTTTACATCTTGGGACAGTGATCAGGCCCTGATCCCCGACTCTTCTCCCTTTCCCAGGATGGAAAGGCTTTGGTAGTTCCCAATCGTGAGATTCGGGACTTCTTAAAGAGGACTGGCTTGAAGGGTGGAGCAGAAGCTGCAGGTGGGTGTAGGTCTTGAGAGTTTGAGGTTGTGGGTTCAGGATTTAGGCATTTTTGGCTTTAGGTTTAGGATTGTAAGGTTTGGTATCTAGGGTGTCGAATTTATGGTAAGGCCGTAAGGGGGCCTGAGTTTAGGATATGGGGTTTACGCTTTAGGATGCAACCCCTTTCATGAAATATCAACGGCTCCTTCAGACGTGGCGTGGCACTGCAGCTAGAGAGGGTTGGAGAGGGTGTTGATTATGAGGCGAGGGCTCACGTGTTTGAGCTTCAGACCTGGGTCTAGGTTTTTTTTGTTGCATTTAGGGGCTTGAGATTTTGCAGGCATGAGGTTTAGCATTATGGGTGCAGCCAGTTGGATATTTGGTGCGAAGTCTCCTCAAGATTTGGGGCATTTGTGCGTTGGGACATACTGTGCGGTTCTGTTTCGATGCTAGATGTAGAGCCCAGCCTGGAGATTCAGCAAGAGCGGTCGGTTTTGTTGACATGTTGAGATGGCTTTCAAAATCTGCGAAACTGGGGGTGGCTTAGATTGTCAGAGAACTCAAGCCTGCAGGTCCTTTGCAGGGTGTCTATATGTTCGACCAAATGGGGCCTATGGCATGGATTGACTTCTCCTACGCCACCTGGAACCCTTCAATCGAAGCTGCTGACTTCAGCATGGACACCGTCCCTGGGCGCGTTCATTATTCTTGGGGCTCTGATTCCTGCATGTACTGACTAGCACACTCCCCACAGTTTAGAGCAAAAAAGTGTTTAACCCTCAGCCCGAAACCCTACGTCGGGCCAAGGTCACGGCGCAATCTGGTGTCCCAGCGCCGGAGTTTGGTGGCATTGGCCCATTCATACCCGGTGGCTACCTAACAGTTGCAAAATGGTGGGTGATTCGTGTTTTTGAGTGAATGAAGGGTGGTTTTTGTAGGGTGATTTTGGACGAGGTGGCTACCTCCTACCCGTCCCTGAGAAGGGGCAGTACAAGGTTCGCTTCTACTGCCCGGCCAAGATGAAAGACGGAGACCACTGCAAGGCCTAAACCCTAGGGCATCCTCAAAGGTGCAAACCGGACTCTCCAAGCCCTAAGCTCTCCAAGCTAAACCTCGAACCCTGAGCTGGCCTTAAATCCTAAAGCATGATGAAACACGGAGACGCCTGGCAGGTGGTGGAGTCCCTTTTTGGCCAGCCCTACCCGAATAAAGATGAGGTGAGAGAGTTTTGAAACAATGGGATTTTTGCCAAATTACCAATGTAGTATCTTTAGTAGGGAACCCCATGATCTTTTCGCAGTCCTTGTACACAACACCCATTTTGAGTATCCAGCCCTCACATGGGTCATACACATCCATCGCGTCCGTAAGGGCCCCCCCTTCATCAAGACACCCCCAGGTCGGGCTAATGCTCTGGCACATGACCCGGTACGATGGTGGCCGCAAGTATGTAAGAGACACCTGGCTGGTTCCCCCGTGGACGACAGCGGATGATTCATACAGCAAAGCGCATGGGAAGTTTCACAGCTACAATCTCTTTGTTCTGATGCATGCGCTTGGGCTTTATAGAGGGGACGCTTCCAGGGGGTGTCCCCATCTCGGAAAAGCCCATATAAGCATTAGATGGGGCTCCACCTGGTAGCTGCTCACCAGAAATTTTTGCCTCTGGCAGAACAGATGTTCTTCAATAAGTTGTTCTTGTCATTATTTCTTGCGTTGCTGCGGATATCATCAGATCACGACAGTGCAAGCCCTACACTTTTTGTATATAGATAGTTCATAAACTTATGCTCTAGTCCGGTCTACGCCCTACATCCGCAACCTCCGTCTCCGAACCCTTATTCCACAATCCTGATTCCTAAGCCCTAGGCCCTAACCCAGGCTAATGGGACCATCGACGAGGAGCACTTCAGCCGCTTCATGGAGAAGTTGGATGGACAGGACTTGGGAGTTTTCAATCACTTAGATCTAGGTTTTAGTGTTCTGTTGATATTGTACCCTGATGTCTGGGAGTTGCCACAATTACCCTCTTGGAAGCCTTCATGTAAGACTCATCCTGAGCCCTGATGCTCAATCTTAATCTTAAATTCTTATAGTTTGTGTTCAGGATCCCAAAGCCGCAAGACACCCTGAACCTTATACCCCAAGCCCTCAAAGCCTCGTTATTTGTGGGCAGGATCTTGTGTTGCCAAAACCGCTGGCAGGGCTGCTGTGAGCATCCCCTGCCGGTACGGAACTGAATTAATTGCTCGGTGTGCAAGACATGCGAGCATGCATAATAGCATGAGTGGAGCTGTCCTGGCTTCATGTTGATTAAAGAGAGCAGGTGTTGAGTAGAGCGTGCAGATTTGCCACGAACCTTGGCGTCATCAGGGTAGATGCGTCCCGAAAGTCGCGCACATTTTGCAGATTGCTTCATGCAGTCTTTTGCCCAGTTGAAAGTTCAGAGCCATGTCCAGGCAAACTGCAATCAAGCTTTGCACGCTGCACCCCAGCCCCTTTAAAGGCTGGTATGATTCTCTTAGGGGGCCTGCAAGAAAACTGCACCCGGAAGCCGAACCAATGCCTCTAAACTTGAAATCCGGACCCCTGTCTTGCTACAGGGTTGGTGAATTCCCATGAACCTCGCTACCTATATACCTAAACTTAAACTCTGAATCAATGCAGTTTTCAAAATGACGCCTGTGGAATCCCTCAAGGCCACCTCCATATTCCCCTTGGGAGCTGGGCAAGCCCTAAGTTGACAAGACCGTGAAAATTCTAGGATCTTGCAGGCATTTACCGTCATGCAGGATGTTGTATATACACCACTTCTAGCCTGGTATGAGAAATCCAAACCTTGGTAAGAACCCCCCGTAGATGAACTTGCGGTCCTTTCTTGTCGTTGGGAGCCATGGAAGGAGGCCTCTGTTGTCGGGGCTAATTCACCAGACAAGTTTATATCCTCGACTTGAGTCCCCAGCCCCTGCAGCTCTAATTAATGTCTTTAAATTGTTTTGTCTTCAAATGTCACGCTAACTAGGAGCTTTCACATCTGTAGGCCCGAAGCCCTGAAGGTCTCTATGTGATCAAGTCAACTATGCAGGTTCTGGTTTGCATGTCCGGCGACTTCGTTGGCCCGTCCTTGACATCATCCTTCTCCAAGGTTGGGACCCTTTCATGCTCAGAAAGCTTTGAGCATGCGCCCAATTCCTGTGTGACCTAAGTCGAAACCTTGAGTCTATAACCCGCAAACCTGAAGCCAAACACCCTCAAACTCCCTAGCCGAGAGTTCCAGGGTGCTCACATCATCGATGCCATGAATGCCGTTGGCGTCGACTACGCCACCTTTGGCAACCATGAGTTCGACTACGGTTGCCAGTCCTTACAGGCCTTGTCAGATTTTCAAGGTGCGACTATGCTTTTCGTACAGAAGTTTGCCAGCTGGGTTTGTGAGGAGTTCTCAGGCTAGGGCTTGGGTGTTGGAACTCTGTCATAGTTAGTAGGGAACGTAGTATTTTCATTTGGGTTGCGATTGGCTGTGATTTAAGTTTGCTTGGGTTGGGGTTGAGCGACTCAGTCTGTTTCGAGCTCATGGGTGGATGTTTCCTTGTAGAGAACTAGATCCCAAATCCGCAAACGGGCGAGGTTTACCGCCTCGTAGTTTGGTGTCGCCTCTGCTCTGTTGGCATCATCGTTTCAGTGATCTCAACTTTGTGCCCTTCTCGGAAAGTCCATTTGTATCCTTTTGGACAAGGTAACCTTCCGTAGCTTGTCTGGCAAAATCTTGAGTTCCATTCGACGCTAGTTCACGACATGCAGCCACTAGGAATTCTAGACCGAAAGCTGCAACATTTGTACCTTGAGAGATTGAATGTGTATTTGCCAGTAGCGCTGCGTGGGCCTTTGTGGGAGCTCCTGGCCCATGATGGTCCTTAGCATTCTGGAGCACTCTCAGGAGCTTGAGCTTTCAATCCTACGCCGTCAGTCTGGCCTAGGTCCCCAAAGCTCTGAGACCTTAACCCTGAAGCCTTAACAGGTAAAAAAGTAGATCCACACCTCAAGCGGCCTTGCTTGGCTTCTCAAGCCCTACAGCCCCAAACCACAAATCCTACGCATTGACTCTACAGTCCCTAAATGCCCTAAAGCTTCAATCCAAAACTCTATTTGCAGTAGCGCTACCCTTCAAAACAGTCAAGGGATTTCAATGCTTGGTGCAAATCCCGAGTGAAGAGTATGTTAGCTACTCCAGGCATGCCTTGAACAGTGAGCCTAAGCCTACACTTCTAATCCCCAAATGCTCAATCCTGACTAACCCTTACTAACCATCAACCTTGAAATTCGTCGCCTAGGCTACCAGTCGCTGGTAAACCGCTTGCAGGGCTTCGATGATGATGCCCAGGCTCTGGTGGCTTTTGGGGTGTTCCAAATTAAAACAGGGGTCTGCGGGTCCTAGAAATACACGGCCACTGAAACTGCATTGGTCCATCTTAAGGATCTTAAGGAACGTACGGGCATCGTTTAGGGAAACACGTGTGAAACTCAACAAGCTGAGTGCACTAATTTTTGAGGTAGCTGGGTTAGTTGTAACTTTTGTTTTTGCTTACTTGTAACTTTTTGGTCCCGAACTGTTAGCAGGTGCAGTATTTAGCCCACCACCCACCCCCCCTCCCCCCCTCCCCACCCCCCCCGGGGCTCTACTGCTCTCCCCCCTCCCGTCAACCCGAATTCGTGATGTACGTATGTTCTCATGTATGTGTACGGGTGGGGGGCGCGTGGGTGTATACAGGTGGGGGCGCGCGGGTGTACTCGTCCGGCCGTTTTGGCGCGGCTCGGGTGCGCGGGCAAACCTCAAAAATCCTAAACGGTAAACACCGTAAACCGTAAAAAACCCTAAACCTAAAGATCCTAAACCGTGAAAACCCTAAACCAAAAAAAACCTAAACCCTAAAAACTCTAACCCCTAAAAACCCTAAATCTTAAAACCCTAAACCCTAAAAACCCTAAACCCTAGACACCCTAAACCCTACAGACCCCAAACCCCTAAACGGTAAAAACCTTAATCCGTAAAAAACCCTAAACCCTAAAAACCCTAAACCTACAAACCCTAAACCGTGAAAACCCTAAACCAAAAAAATCCTAAACGGTTAAAACCCTAAACCCTAAAAACCCTAAATCCCTTAACCCTAAAACCTTGATTCGCCTGTCTAAAAATTCTAAATCCTAAAAACCCTAAATCCTAAAACCCTAAACCCTAAAAACCCTAAACCCCAAAACCCTTAACCCTCAAACCCTGATGCGCGTGTCTAAAAACTCAAAACCCTAAAAACCCTAAACCCTGAAAACCCTAAACCCTAGAAACCCTAAACCCCAAAAATCCTAAACCACAGAAACCCTAAAAACCCTAAACCCTAAAAAACGCTAAACCCTACAAACTCTAAACCCTACAAACCCTACAAACCCTAAACCCTAAAGACCCTAAACCCTAAAGACCCTAAACCCTAAAAACCCTAAGCCCTAAAAATAAACACCAAAAACCCAAAAGCGATAAACAAAAGAGAGAAAAAACACCTAAACCCTAAGAACCCTAAACCCTGAAAACCCTAAACCCTAAAAACCCTAACCCCTAAAGATCCTAAATCCGAAAACCCTAAACCCTAAAAACCCTAAACCCTACAAACCCCAAACCCTAAAAATCCTAAACGGTAAAAACCCTAAACCGTAAAAACCATAAAAACCCGAAAGCCCCTAAACCTAAAAACCCTAAATCGCGAAAAACCTAAACCCAAAAAACCCTAAACCCTAAAAACCCTGAACCCTAACAAGCCTAAACCACAAAAACCCTAAACCCTAAAAACCCTAAACCCTAAAAACCGTAAACCCTAAACACCGTAAACCTTAGGAACCCCCCTAAAAGCCCTAAACCGTAAAAACCCTAAACAGCCCTAAACCCTAAAATCCCTAAACCCTAAAAACCCTAAACCCTGAAAAACCTCAACCCTAAAAGCCACCTAAACCCTGAAAACCCTATACCTTAAAAACTTAAAACCCTACAAACCCTCGGCAGTG